AATCCTTATATTTGTATGTATATAAAATGAATCCGTAGCAACTTTAACATCGTAACGAGGAAATCTATTTATCATCGACAATCGATTTATTGAAACATAAACATCGAAGATCTTAAATGAGTAAATTGTGATGAGTCGCCATCAAGACAGCTCACAATGGTAGACACACACACACACACACACACACACACACACACATATATATATATATATATATATATATATATATATATATATATATATATATATATATATATATATATATATATATATATATATATATATATATATATATATATATAATGATTCAAACCAAGAACAAGTGCATTTGGCTTAAACTTGGTCATATCTCTCATTCTGATAAACCATGTGTAAATGAATACTGCTGAAATCACATGCAAAGCATCAAACAAAAAAAGTACGGGACCAAAACCATGTGTTCAGTGTTATATTGGAGTCAGAGGTAAAAAAACCAGTTATGTATGCAAAGAGAGAGAACTGAAACGATACGACCACAAAAATACCATTTTAAGCAAATCTCCTATAAAATAGAAAAGATTACCTGGAGAGATTTCAAAAAAATGATTTAGACAAATATTATATAAATATAGCAAAACAAATTAGTAGCACATCCAATATACACAAATTACGAAGCGTCTCGAAATGGTAAAATTAGGAACTGCACAGATACCTGTGTCAGTTTGTATAGATACTTATGGCTATATGCATAGATACTTATGACTGTATGCTAAGATACTTGTGGCTAAATGTATAGATACTTGTGGCTTTATGCACAGATACTTGAGTCAATTTGCATAGATACTTATGGCCATATGCATAGATAATTATGTCTGTATTCACATATACTTGTGGCTAAATGTATAGACTTGTGACTATATGCACAGATACTTGTGTCAATTTGCATAGATACTTGTGTTAATTTGCATAGATACTTATGGCCATATGCATAGATACTTATGACAGCATGCAAAGATACTGTGATAAATTAGTGGCGTTCAAAACACACCAACCTCTTCCACTACGGTTCGCTGCTAGGGAAAGACCTCCCGCGGTGTAATTTAACCAGTGTGGATAGATAGAAAGAAGAATGCAGATTTCTCAACAAGTATATTGAGGAAATAAACACAACGAGCCCCCTTTCAATGAACAAATATAAAATAAATAATCAGCTTAACAACAAAATTAAAAATAAAAATAAATCAATTACTTGGTTACAAAAGAAGGAAAAATGTACTAACATCTTCTCAAATAATAAACCTTGCTGGTCATTACATTCCACTCAGCTAAGACGTATGTGCCCGTATTTAACACCCCTTGACTTCTTACACTATCTAGCAGTGTTAAATTACATATGGCTTAGACCCTCATATGGATATACACTCAATACATGTCATACTAGACAGAGTTAATTCATAAAACTATGAAATATTACCCATCATTTATTAGGCTTAATTCTTGAAAATTCTTACGCAGTCCTATGTATTATAGATTCTTTTACATGCAATCTTGTCAATTCTTCCAATGAACATTCAATTACATGCAACCTTGTCAATTCTCCAAATGAATTGATAATTAAAAAGAATAAAATATCATGACTAACATTTCACTAAAAGCCAGCAAAATGAAATCATACAGACATACATCATAACATACAACATTTGCAAGTAAATCAACAAATGAAATAACATATTAAAATCTGGAAACTAAGATTGCGTACCTTTTGCCGTTTCTTTATTCGTCTTCTACGAACCTCACGTATAGTCTGTCTCCTATTTGAGACAACTATTCGGCCCGTACTCAATAACGAAAATGTACTTGCTACGAATTCGGAGTCCATTAACTTTCCTCGCGAAAGCTTGAAGACTGAAGAATTCCTCCAAAGCAAAATCTTTAATTTCTTACAGAGTTACGCTCATAAATTACTATTACCAATCGGAAAAGACTGTTTCCTAAATTAGTTCCTTAGAATTTTCGAGTGTCAAGACAGCTAATCATGCCGCAATTAACGTTCTTTGAACAATCAATAGTTGCCAAGCTTCTCCCTTAAACCGGTTGATTTTGAGAAAGGTTCTTATGTCATTGCCTTGTAAAATAGCATATGACTAGGTCAAGTTTCGTCGCGTGGAACGAATTTTCTTTTCAGGTTCAGAGATGAAATGAAAAAAATCATCTAACTATCTTTAGCCCTTTCTACTTTAATTAAGTAGACTTTAAACAATGCTCCTAAGAGTTTTCAAAATTCGACATATCACAGATACTTATGGCTGAATGTATATATACCTGTGGCTATATGCACAAAAACTTGTGTCAGTTTGCAATGATGCTTATGGCTATATGCATAAATATTTATGACTGTATGCAAAGATACTTGTGTCAATTTGCATAGATACTTGTGTCAATTTGCATAGATACTTGTGTCAGTTTGCATAGACACTTATCACTGTATGTAAAGATACTTGTGGCTAAATGTATAGATACTTGTGGCTATATGCACAAATACTTGTGTCAATTTGCATATATACTTGTGTCAATTTGCATAGATACTTATGACTG